AAGAAACGTCTTTTTCCTTCCTAAACTGAAAATACTAGATTAGAAAGAAAAATAAAGAAGTATGCAAAATATGTCGAATTCGTGGAAACTATTAAAAGGAAACTGAACAGAAAGGCTATAAAAGTTGAACTGTAAAAACAAATGCAATTTATGACTGTGTTAAATCATATCAGTCAGTTACCGTATTCTAGTACACATGATAATATTTAAATATGTAATAAATACATAAATACTGCTAAAAATAGAATTATTTTGCATGTCACGCAGCCATAACGTTTCCGTTATGAGATGCTTAATATTTTATAAATGTTATTAATCCTGTAATATTTAATACTCTTATACTACTGATTTAATGATGCAATAAAGATCTTTATTAAAAAGTATTAATATTTAAAAGTAAATTATATGACGTTTCTATCTCCAGATTATCCAGATTATCTGCCAGCAGATCATTTTATATTTATGTATACAATAGTCAGAAAAAGTGTACAAAATTTTTCTTTCTGGTATAACGAATAAAGAAATAAATGGTACCGTAATTTTATTAATATGAAATATTATTAAGGGGTAACACCACTCTAGAGCCCGAAAAAGAGGCCTAACTTTGACAATTTATTTTGGAAGAACGACAAACGGAAAAGAATTTCTTTTCAGAAAGTTTATTTAAGTTTATTTAACACATATTCGGAAAAGAATTTCTTTTCAGAAAGTTTATTTAACACATATTGAACTACAAAAAATATTTTTTTATTGTCATTTTCGTACAAAATGGTGGCGACAGAGCCCATCGTCGGAAAAACATTTTGGAAAAACACCGCCACGGAAGGACGGATTTCTCGTTATGCATGAGTCGTGGGATAAAAAATCAAAAGAATTTATAATCTATATACAATTGGTTTTGGAAGTACGTAGGGATTTTTTGATTAATCAATTTTTGTGGAAGTTATGCGTTTTTTAAGGAATGAATCGACTTTTTGCATGAAAAATGAGCACTAAATTATTTATAAAAAAAAAGTTTACATTCAATCAAAAAACGGCTACGTACTTCCAAGGATAATATTGTTGTGCAGCTACTGTAAACATTTTAATTCGATTCATGCAATAGTCACCGAGAAATCCGTCCTCCCAGTATGAAGAAACTGGTTTCGAGAAAAACGCGTTTGAAGTTTTATGAACATTTTAATCCTCAAATTCTCTGTTCACCGCTAATCTGCAATGCCTGTACCATACATTTGGCTATCCAGATCAGTGTTTGCCACCTTCTCGAGCTTTCTGGATGCCTCTGTTTATTTTGTAGGTAACGAGTAAACTTATTATTTTAAATGATAATTTAATTTCTTTCGAAAAGGAAGTTCCGTATTCAGAAATATTATTTTTATCTATAGAAGATGCAAATTAGTACAACGATCTAAATTACCGATTCAGTTTAACCATCGTATGTTCCTGTTACAGCACAAACGGAACAACATAGATATTATGCACATGCAACTATGAAAAACAAATTCTCTAAAAACGTTCGTGAAAGCTGGGAAAAGGCGTGTTACTTTCCTCACGCCGTTACTTTTGTCCCCACTTTACCTTATTATTTTTTTTAGCAGAAAATGTTAATATTGATTCAGTAAATTTTCTCTGCTCCGTGCTTTCAGTTCACCTTCCACTCAAATTATTTCTATTAATACTCTTTACTTTGAAAATACATTTCCACTTATGGAATAAAAGATATGTACTTTAGAAGAGGGATAAACATTTTGTGCGGCAAATTTTCTTGTTCTTTTTCTTCAACTTCCTTTCTAATTTATTCTACTTAATGCACATGAAGAAATGAAATCTCGTGTATTTAAAATGAACATTATTTAGGCTCGTAAGTAATGAACATTACTTATTTATCTAACATTAGATAATGAAATTATTTACAAGGGAAAATTTATTACAATCCTATAAGTCCTGTAAAAGATTTAGAAGGACGAGTAATGCAACAATGTGCATCAATTAAATAACCAAAAGAAACTTGTTTAAAATAATTTTCTATTTAAAAATAATGTGATTGTTGAATACACATGCATCACTAAACTTCTAAAAAAACGCTTGTACCACATAGTTTTTTTTTAAAGCATATGACTTTATTTGAAATTTACATCGGCTGCTAATAGGGTTGAACCACCCTACATAGCAAAATGCCAACGAAATATTAGGTACAATTTAAGTATAAAAATATTTAATAAAATTTTGAATTCAGTGAAGCAGTGAACCTGTTGAAGAAGGTATAAACACTATTTCTACCACGATTGTATACTCATTGAAAGGTGTTGTTTGAACTGACAATTTGAAGTCCCAACAGTTTTGGCAATTATTTGTATTCAAACGAAAAGGTGTCAAAACCTCACGTTAAAAATAAGTATACCATACGCACATAGATCTATGATAAGCTGGAAGAAAATGATATCTCTGAATTAATTTGACTATCGTATACAAAGTCAAAAAATTAATTGTGTAGAAATGATACAACTTAGAGAATAATTTCAAGTAATTTGAAAGGTGTCTTTTGACATCTCTTGATAGAAACAGTGTTAATAATCAAGTTTCATATAAATCTGATTAATTGGAACTGCTTTTGAAAACGAAAAGGTGTCAAAACCTCACGCTAGAAATAAGTATACCACACGCACATTTTTAGATCTATGATAAGCTGGAAGAAAATGATATCTCTGAATTAATTTGACTATCGTATACAAAGTCAAAAAATTAATTGTGTAGAAATGATACAACTTAGAGAATAATTTCAAGTAATTTGAAAGGTGTCTTTTGACATCTCTTGATAGAAACAGTGTTAATAATCAAGTTTCATATAAATCTGATTAATTGGAACTGCTTTTGAAATACATAGTCGAGAGTGCTGGCGTGTTCTTCCGCTCGAAACAATCACTTGGTTGCCAGAGGCAAGGATAAGAGACCAAACAAAATCACACCGGTTTTCATGAAGAAGAGGCAACGTATCGTGAATGCCAAGCAGTGTATAGATATCTAAATTTCATGCATAAGCTGCATGAACAGTTACAATTCATCGCCACAAACAGCCGGCTTGCAACAGCCTGAGACAACGACCCGTTGTCGATACTCGTATAAATTATTATTAAGCTCTACGAGCAATAAATTTTAATCCAGCATGGCACAAGTGTTTCCGCAATATGATTTTACTGTCGCTGCATTAGACGCTTCGTGAAACTTTGGAAAGGAAAGCAATTTGCAGGTGAAAATATTGATACGAGTGTACATAACGCGGAATAGAACAACGTGCACGTGTGTATTTTTAGAAACAAATAATCGAAATGTCAACGGCCTTCTACCGATACACTGCTCTATCGAGTCAAGATAAATTACCAGTTATAATTTGCTCCGAAGCAAGTACGCTGTACTTTATCTGTCACGCGAGATGCGTGAATCATCTAATTTTAAACGAGTTATAAAAATGAGGCTATGCTTGTCCATTAAAGAATTTCTAGATAAGAAGTTATGTCAGATAGGACAAAAATAAATCATTATCGATATGGTGTCTGTAGTATGCTTAAAATAATTCTAAATGCTGTTATATTACCAATGTTGAATATGTCATTAAATATATCTCTTGTAAATGCTGTTTTATACGTCTGGTTTAAAACTTTACTTTGATAAACTCATTTTTATAGTCTTTTCATTCTTTCATTTGCACCGACCGTTATTAACTCGTTGTACTCGAAGGTTTTGCTGTTAGATAACAACTCTAAAACATTTTGAAAAGTTTGATGATTTCTTTTGAAATTATTATTTTTCTATTATTAATTATCATTATTGTTTCTTTCTCCAGGTTTACACATGATATACATTACGTTATATAATAAAAAAATATCTATTTCAAATTATTGTACTGAACTAAATGGTATAACTTACTTTTATCTGTTCATGACACATAATACAGTAAATTATTTGCTCATAGTACAGGGTGTTTCCGAAATGGCGTAAACGAAATGAGGGTGAATTCACGTGAAAAATTAGGGCAAAATAATACAATTTGAAAACAATGAGTTTGAACAGTTTCGAAAAATTTATAACAAAAATTTGTTTATAGCACATAAAATTGTAAATGCAACTTTTCATTACTTTAGGAATTAATGGGTGTTATTAAGCAAATAAATCTAATCATCGATACTACTGAAGTTCGTTATCAGTTATTCTTCATAACATTATTGATGTAGATGCTAATGTCTTATGTGACGAATTTAGTCGACGATAAGAACATATATAAGCGATAAACCTCGAAAAGTAATATAAAGTAATAGTTGATTCATAATTTTTTTTTACTGTAGAATTAAGAAACAATTTGTTCATTTTATCATTTTTACACTGCGAAAAAACATTTTTACAGATACTTAAAAAATGTTAAAATTCAATTTTTTTGAAAATAAAGCCATATGCGGCAAAATATTGCTAATTTTTTCTTTTTATTGCAAAAACAGTATGCATAAATGTTATATATTAATAATCAACGTTATAAGTGAACAAAATGCTAAATATTTTGTAGCACGCATTTTTCTTGTTAATTTCTAAAACCTTCCAAAAATTTTATTGGTCATTTGATTGAAGTATTCTTGCTTCCAAAAAATGCAAACATCTTATAGGAAAAATTTAACGATTTTTGATACAAGTTTATCCGAGATTATAATTAGTAACGTAATTAAAACAGTCTGGGTCGCTTAATTATCGCTTGAAGACACATTTATTATCTTTGTTTGGAAAAGCTATATGACAGATTTATTTTAAAAACTATTTTACTGTATGTATATATTATCTATTGGTTTTTAACAATTTACATGCCATCATTTACGTTAATGATGCTATTTTTGCAATAACATTCTTAGGTACTATATTATACTATATAGTACTATAATTCTTACATACTGGATTGCTACTAAATGCAATTATTTGAAGTTTCAATACCGAATGTTGGATATTATAATTTTGAAATACTATACCTTGATCCAACTTGAATAACTCGTCTCCTGTAAAAAGAGAAAAATATAATTAGTATGATGCATAATTTCTATGCAACTTATAATTAATTTAATTTGAGATCTCCAGAATATTACAATACAGATTTTTAATATTGTATAATGTAGTATACTGTTACATAATACACTACAATATAAGATAACATAGTATATTATATGTGATAAAATATAAATTAGTTAATTGAAAATATAATATAGGAACATTTTTACTGAATTTAATTTATTACCTAAATACCATAAGTGAAGAATATGGAATCAAATTTTTTCGTTCAATTTTGTTGAAATTAAAATAGTGAATAGCTTCTGTGTAAGAAATATTTTTAATGGCTGGAGTCTTAATTCATCTAGTCTATCAGGTATATTCTTCTGATAAAGTGTGTACGTTAAGGGTTAATGTTCATGGTCATAGACAAGGTCAACAGTCAGTAATGTCCACAGTTGTACAAATATGTAATGTACAATGAAGCCCTTGAATATATTATATTTTATAATATGGTATAAAATTTGAGATGGCCAACAAATAATAAATTTGTAATTTTAGTTATTAGTCCCATGTAGGAATGTTCTATTAAAACTTTCGTTATTGGTACACAAAATACACACAAACATTCACTTTGATTATTTTTACAACAAAGCGTTTCATATAATATTTAAAAAAAAATGTATGCATACTTTTTGCCCCAATTTCTAAACTAAATAAAAATGACTGTCCGGAACTACAGTAACAAACCCAGAGGAGAACATTTCATTTATTACTAATAATATTAATAATATAATATTATTTATTGTCAGAATGTATCACAATGTATATAAAAGCTACTTATGAAAATGTTTATAAAAATGTTTTCGTAAAAGTTTTTGCAAAACTTTTTTATATAGTTCTTATATACGTATAAAAACGTATATAAAACGTCCCGTTAAAAAACGTTAAAACTGTGAATAATCGAAGTAATATTTTTATCCGTGTCTAATAAAATTGGCTTTCATCCAAAGAAGCTCTGTACGAACAAAAAGCGCCACTTATAGAAATGGCACTAACAGCCTCTTTTATTTACGCCTTTCGATTAGATTCCGTGGTCTATCTATTAAACGGATCAATACTGACACTAACATAAAAGAAATGCACCAGAATGAGCAATAAAAGCATCCGCGATAAAAGAAGCAAAAACGCAAAGCTAAAAATAATCGTTTCTTCGTCCACTAGAAAGGCATTCCTCAAGACGATACGCACGCGAGCATGCGTTCCGTTCGTATCGTTCGTTCGCCCTCGTTAACGCAGCAAGAATTCCGTGAACGGTTAGCGTGAAACGAAACAATTTTCCCCTAGAAAAATTGACGAGTTACCGGCGTATCATAGAATCGTGCGTGACGCTGTTTTACGACGGATTGTTAAATTCTATAGTCGTGTACGAATACTCGATATAATGGTGAGAACTGATTACAACCTCAAGAAGCGGAAAAAAGATAAGCGAGAGAAAAAACTGGGGGAATAAAACAAGACCGATCTTATAGCGAGATGTATGATCGGGAGCAATGGCCAATCGTATTTTTCCCCGACTGCACCGAGAGTGCGCGATTAATAATGGTCCCGTTTTACTCGTTATTAATGCGATGCTGATAATCGTCCACCACGTTGCAATTACGTTGTTATGCTCATGGGGACACCCGGTATATGTCGGTCGAGGGTGTGGTCCACGACGAAAAGAACGAAAAATCTCGTTGCTCTTTTAAAAGGCATTATCGTGCGTAACGCATCGTATTTTAGCCTCACTGAGCCCAACAGGGCCCGCCAGTATCTTCCGCGAAAATAAACGTCCGGTAATACGCTCGCTTCTACGCATGTACGAAAAACTCAGGACCGTACTTATCGGCACTTCGGTCCCTCGGTTTACGCGGGGTTCCACATGGATTCGTTTTATGCAAACGGGAATAAAGTTTATCGGTACGAAAAATACTACAAACTGAAGACAGTAAGGTGAAAAGTGAAGACTGGTTAAGTGAAGGGTAAGTGAAGACTGGTTTTTGTAAAGTTGGTATTTAAACGTAAGTATTTTCAGTCTGCTTTGTAAATACTTAACGCTGTCGATATCGAACGCTTTGCACAATTACTACTATTTAATTAATATTAACTAGAACCTTAATTTTCCTTCTACATTTTGATTTTGATAGGAAATTGTTTAAAATGTCAGCTACTCTGCACTTTCCCCGAAAATGGGGTAAGAGCGTAACTTGAAGTTAAATACTTTGAAACTTTATTTCATGTGCAATGGGACAAGAGCAGAATTATTAACAAATCTGCTATAAAATGCTTTTTACTGAATTATGCAAGTATTCTATACTGCAAACAAGTACTCCTAGCTGAAATATAAAAGGGGATACAGTGAAACAAAACAAGGAAAAAAACATACTAAATGGAGAAATTTTGCTCATATTGTAATAAAAATGGCCTGTGTACGCACTTGCCCCGTTTACGAACTTACTCCACTTCGCCTTATGTACGCAATACGGAATACGTTGTGTGAGGTACGTGAGTAATGTTCCAATTATGCAAGTATTCTATAGCTATAAAATGCTTTTTACTGAATTATGCAAGTATTCTATACTGCAAACAAGTACTCCTAGCTGAAATATAAAAGGGGATACAGTGAAACAAAACAAGGAAAAAAACATACTAAATGGAGAAATTTTGCTCATATTGTAATAAAAATGGCCTGTGTACGCACTTGCCCCGTTTACGAACTTACTCCACTTCGCCTTATGTACGCAATACGGAATACGTTGTGTGAGGTACGTGAGTAATGTTCCATACTGAACATGCTCTTTAAATAAATATTACAAATTAAGTTTGTCTTTGTAAATACTATTATAAGTTGTATTTTAACTATTCCAATTTGTAAGTATATTATAGTGGTAGCAATTGAGAAAAATGCGTTCAGCTCATTCATGTGTGGGAAATGTGCTTAACAGAAAATGAAGAAGAATAGTATCATATCGAATAAATTTTAAAAGTACATACTTGTTCACTCGTGTTATTCTACTTATATATATATATACATTTTTTACAATAAGGATGTTATATAAGGTTCCTTATATAACAGTATATAAGTTTGAGAAATATTTGTCTGAAATAGATTAACAATAATGACGTAATGATGCTTTTCTGTGAAAGTACACATGTAATGTCTAGAGCAACGTAATATACTTTTATTCTTGTCACTGACGTTTCATCATTGAATAATACACTTGTAGAAACTTTTAAGGATTACTTGTCATATAATTTGAGAACAAATTGCCGTGCAAATAGTGAGGTATTATAGTTTATCGCGTGTAAAGGAGGCTGATGTGAAAAAATGCATGTAAGCTGAGGAACGGGTGTACAGTAAGATCTCTGCATGTGGAGATGCAGCAGACACGAATTGTCTGATTTATAGTTTCGGAAAATTAGAACGAAAATTCCAAGTGAACTGAAAATTGGATTTTTGAAAATTTGATAACGCGGAGATTTGGGAGTTTGAAAGTGAAAGAATTTAGAGTTTTGAGAACTGAAAATTTGAAAGTTAGTTAATTTGAGGATATTAAAGTTGGACTTGAAATTTTGAGAATTTGAAAATTTAGAAACTGGAGTGTAGGGATTAGGAGATCTAGAGATTTAGGGAAGATATAGATATCCGAAAATGTGGGTATGTAGGTATGTAGGGATCTAGGGATGAGGTCTAGAAATTTGGGGATTTAAGTATATGAGAATCTAGAGATTTGGAAGTCTAGGAACTTGGGAACTCAGATTTAGAGACAAAACTAAAATTTGGCAACCAGATTTGGTAATTTTTTAGTTTTTAAATTTGCACATACGAAAGTTTGCGAATTTTATAATTGTGAAGCTTGCATACTTATCAAAGGATACCTATGTTGTATGATATTTGAAACAACCGAAGAACAAATTTGTATAACAAAATAACAAAATATTTTTAATTGTACTTTCATTTTCAAAATAACCGAAAATGAAGATTTTTCGAATATTTGTATAAAAATTTGTTTCTAACACGAAAAATGATGAATCAATCTTTTGTTAATTTAACGATCGACGAATGTTATTAAATTTACAATTAGTATTGCTGAAGTTTATTATTTGTTAACATTCTTCGGGACATTATTTATGTAGTTCTAATGTATAAAGTGATTACTTTAGTCGATGATAAGAAATAAGTAATAACATTTATTATGAATTATCAATGTTATTCAGAAGTAACATATACATATATCAATTAATTATCATTATTTGTCATTTTTCAATTGTTCCAAGTTTTCAAGCAGAAGGGATAAATCAATTTTCTTCCAATTAGTTTCATTTATCAATTAAAATATTAATTATACATATAGTATAAATAATAAGAATGTTCGTGAACCTAAATAAACGAACACCTAAGTATTCAAATTTTAAATAAACAAATACTCAAATTTCAAATCTTTGAGTATTCAATTTAGTAGAATTTCAAATCTTTAATTAAATAAATATTCAAATTTCAAATTTTCAAATGCTCAAATATTAGAATTTCAGATCTCAAATTAATTTTCTAATATTGGTATATGAACACCGATATATATTTTGAAAATAGAGAAAGTTCATTTTTGAAAAATAAATAATGATAACAATGGATAAAACTAAAATGATATTTTTATCTGTAAGCAATCTATATATAGTGAAAATAATTCAATTCCCTAATATTTAGGCAATGGAAGTGGTGGAAGTCCACCTTACAATCAAATTGAAATTATTTTGAACCAAGTGATATCACGGTGTAATTTAACTTTGGTAACTTTTAGTAATACTTACAATACTGTGAAAACCTTCAAATTATATAATATTGACGGCATAACCTCAAGATGAGCGGGGATCTGTAGATCTATCTAGGTACCATTGCTGACTTCTATTCTGAGCTTGCAAGAAAGTTCTACTTCAGTTTCTAATAAATTCTCAAAGTTAACACGGTTCT